AATAAGGGGTCCCCGATTGCAGGTAAATACACACTTGTGTGTATGTGTGTGTTGGCGGGGGGGGGTATATGACTTGCCCTGCCATGGAAGTATGATGTTCAGGATAAAGATGTACATTTGTAATGTGTCAAATTCATGCAGAAGTTTACATCAGAATGGCATATATGTGCCCTTTTAAAAATAATTTTCCCTTTTTAGTGATATTGCAAAACAACTCAGTGGTTGGGAAATCCTGTAAATTTTTAACAATCCGCATAAATTGTTTTTAAAAAAGTGTGTGGGGGGGTATATACCCCCATCACCCAAGGATTTGCGACCATGATGGTAATAAGGCTTCTCCACATCATGCAGATTTTAGAGATTCGGATTGTTGTGTAGTGGAGCCATTCAGGTTTTGTACGTCTCTTATTTGGCCTGTTGATCTCACTGATCTCTATACACTGGATGGTCAACTCAGCAGTTACTGCCTATGTGTAAATTGAAGTGACCGCGCGGCCATCGTAGAATATTACATTACAATGGCCTCCAACTTCAGTCCATTCACTATAAGTGCATGCACGGCGCTAAAGCCGATGACTTGGAAAATGCCATTGTGCGGAATAGCCTAAGATGGCCGCGAAGTCGCTTCAATTCCCAGAACAAAGCTGCGTGTGTGTTGTTTAGAGATCAGTGGTTGATATCCACGTGACGTTGCACATTCGTGTGACCAATTGCTAACGCGACTGGATTTAAATGTTCGAGTCCATCGTTTGGATTTTTCATCACAAAATACATACGTATAAGCATGGCCATCTACAAAGTATAACTAGACTAGTACAGCAAAGTTGAGGAAATCGAACTCTTGCAGTGTAAGATTTTGCAGGCCTGTTTAAATACATCAATTGTCAGAATTATCTTGTTCCAGAGACCAGACATGTGATATAGTCTGTATTGCTGATCGGCTTTGGTGAACTGAATCAAGATTACTCACGTTAGTCAATGAAATGGTGAACAGGAGACTATGTGTCCATTGAAGCTGATACAGGAGTCAGTGACAAACGGCGGACAGCTCGATCGGAACCCTTCATACCAAAATCTGTGCAACCCATAAGTACCATTTCTTAGCTGTGCTTGGTACGGTTGTCGGTGCTTACGTCTTGTACGCATAGAGATTTCTATTTTTTTCTAACCACATTATGTAAAGTTTTTTTCTACGGCAGGGGCGTAGGCTATCCAGCAAGTTGCCCCCCGCCGGTTAATTTTTATTTTTTATTTTTTTTTTACAAATAATACTTCTTTGATGAGTAGGGAAGAAAGTAATTGGTATACTTATCAACTATATTTTAACATCAAACCCTTCAAGGCTAAAGGATGGATATGCCACTGCTCTACGGTAAGAATGCCTTTTGTTGTGCTTACGGCCTTCATGAAATACGTGGGAGCCTTTGCTAGCGTAAAATAATAGGCCAATTTCACATTGTGACGTAGTACCTTGACCCCTTCGGTATTCCAGAATGACTTTGGCAGGTGTGTGGCAGGAGCATGGGTAGATATGACTCTTGGACGATCAGTAGGCATCTCGGCCACAAGGTGGTAACCCATGCGTCGAGGAGCATTGGGATCAGTTATAGCAGATATCAGTAGCATCTCAAAAGGTCGATCCCTGAGAAAGTTGGGGTTATCAAAGCCCAAAAGAAGGTTGATAATCCGTGACATCCAGTGAGAACCTTGGGGTGCAAATCCACATAGAAGATAATCTTACA